TTTTAAATTCTTTGGTTTTGCTATATAAGCATTTGATTGCAAGGTCGGTTTGAACTGCAAAGTTGATGGTTCAAATTCACCAGCCACTCCTTGAAAACTTATACAGGGTTTCTATGAGTCAAAACCAACTCATAAGCACTTAACAACAACATTTAATGCCAATACATTCTAAAATGCTTATTAAACTTGAGGGCAAAATTATTTAGGAGTATTTGGTTTGGTGGGTCTAGCTTGCACCAAGAGATTTTTGAGCAAAAATATCAGAATCAACAAGTATGAGAGCCCTGGTGGTATAGTGGGTTATGTGTTAGACTGTTCACTGCAGAGTTGGCAGTTCGAATTCACCAGCCACTGCACAGGAGAAAGATGAGGCTTTCGGCTAGTGTAGAGATTTATAGCCTTAGAAACCCTATACAGGCACACAACATCAGAATCAATTAGTCAGTAACTAATATAATATCACCAGTGTTTTTTGTTTACTTCATCATTCAGATATCTTCAATGCCTAAGACAATTGTTGGTAGACATTGGTTGGGCAAAAGGCAATTAACTTTGAAATAATACAAATTAAACTGGAAGGGATCTTGCTAGTCTTTTCCTTTTAAGAGTGGAGGAAACCAAAATCAAATAAGGAAAGTTTAATTGCTTAAGACCACAGAGTTGGTTAACATTAGAGATTCAGAAATCAACACTTTTAGTGAACATGGATAGAGTTTTGTGTTATAATGTATTCCTGAATAAATATTTAAGTGAGGCTGTCCTTTTATTCTCATTTATTTAATGTATATAAACTTTGCTTAATACTGTGGTGATACAATGATGCATATGATCATCTTTTGACATACTTCATAATGTAAATGGGGTAGCAGATATCTTCTACAAGTCACTACACTGCAAGCAAGAAAGTGTTGTACTGATTGGAGGATTCAGAGGAGAGCTTCTGGAGGACATAAGTTTTAGGAGAGTTATAAGGAATTCAAGAAAAGGTGAACAGATTCAGATTCAGCACAAGTACTGAGATTGTTTCTTTAAATATCATGCACTAAAGAACATCAAATCATTTCATTTAGCTGCAGTGTTGCCAAGTAGTAACTGATACTGTGAGAAGGGATTTTAAAGAGAAGATGCCATGTTTCAGGGCTGTAAAATACACTGTCCTGAGAATGACTGGAGCTCTGGTAGCATAGTGGTTACAACTCGGGCTGCGAGCCACAAGATCAGCAGTTCGAAACTACCAGCTGTTCCGCGGGAGAAAGATGAGGCTTTCTGCTCCCGTAAAGATTTACAACCTCGGAAACCCTGTACAGGGTTGCCATGAGTCGGAACCTACTCCATGGCACATAACAACAAGAATGACTAGAGTCCTGGTGTGGCACTGTGGGCTAATGCATCAGACTGCAAAGTCTTTTAAAATGCAAGGTCAGTGGTTCAAGCTCACCAGCTGCTCTCTGGAAACTGTATACAGGGTCGCTAGGCATTGAAATAGACTTGATGGAACTTAACAACAACAACAAAGTATGAGTAACAAGAACAACAACACTGATACAGTAAATCTTCACAATGCATCATTCATACTAAAATAAGACAATCCTAACATCCTCGTTTGTTTGCTATTATGATCAAGTTTGATTAAAATAGTATCTTAAATCAGTCTATGAAGAGAGTAGATATGTTAAATGCTTTATGTAATTATTATATAAATTAAAAGGCCTGTTACAAGGCGATGTGATGTCTTAGGGTCAACACTATTTCATTGCTTAGCGATGGACTTGAAGAAAATGTTTCATACAGAGCACTGTACTCCAAAACTCAGACACCTGAGCTCAAATTAAATGACTCAGTGGCCATATGCAAGAGGTACAGTGCTTAGTTTAAAATGCTATCAAATATTAGTTATTATTTTGACTGTTACAGCAGTAGTTACTATACTGCAATGAAGATGAGTCGAAACGTTTTTTTAAAATCTGAGTTACTATTTATATACAGCCATAATAAATATATATATATATGCTAGGCACGATTATTATCTCCACTGACCAGGGTTGAGAGGAATATTTTCTAAATTATCTCTATTATTGATCTACTTTTGGGTGTATTTTTCTTTCCGGACAAATTGTTCATTTTTAATTTCTGTCCTGCCTCCAATGTTTCCTAATTTCCAACTACTTAATTTTATTTTCTATAATTAGTAACTGCAACTAATTGCAATGTCCTACTGAGTTGTTGCATTCTATTTTGGTTCCTATTTTCCCATTATAAACTTCTATTTTCAAGTCCCATGATAAAACAAGTTTCCTTTAGTCTGAAACTTGGGAGACATGATCTTGGCATGAATTTAAAAAAAAATAAATAAATAAACAAAAAAACTTTCAAGTCAGCCAAACTTTTTAAGTTAAAATGAAAATTTTCCTTAGTTTTATTCAACATTACAGTGGGAAGAGACACTTGATTTCAGAATTTTGGGCAACCAATTATTAAAAGCCTTACCCATGGAGAAACATACTATGAATTTCAGAGTTATGTTTTTAATTACTGTTAAAGCAATATACTGTCAAAACTAACTTTGACACATGTTTTCCATGCTATCATACTTAAATTAAGAGGTGATATAACCAAGGCACAAATTATGGAAAAGTCACAAAGAGAAGTATTGCAAAATTCCTGTTGTGAGGAAAAGTTTTAAATTAATCCATTTCGCCAGAGTGAAAAATGCTATCAAATGCATAATGTGATTTTACATTTCCTTTCTTGTGATTTAGTCTCTTGCTTTAGAGACCCTCCTTCTGTTAATAATATCTGAAACTTTGAGGCACAAAAGTATAATAACCCTAGGGAAAAAAGATAGGTTTCTAGTCAAAGTGTATTGGGGCATATTAATCCCTTCATGGATGCTATGCATTAGTCTAAATGTTTTATAGTATAGTGAAGAAGAAAGAGAAGTCAGACCTAAGGCAAACAATAGCAAGGAACAGAGAAGTGAAAAATAAAAACAGGTTTAAAAGGAAAGTAGCAAAAATTGAAAGAAAAAGATGTACCAAAACAATTTATCAGAGTAAAAACGCTGTGGGATAAATTAACAAATAATACAATACTGCTCAAAGTCAGCTTGAAACGAGCTCATAATTCATGACTGTATTGTTTCTAAAATCTTAAATGGTAAAATACCTCAAAATTATGTAAACTATATATAGTCACAATTGTATTTTTCTACTATCATTTCAATGACTGCAAGTAAGTTTCCAGTTCCCTTGAACAAAACTACAGATTCAAATAGTACAACTCAAGCCATATGCTTCTTGGAAGTAATTTATCTTTTCAAAAAAATATTCCTTGGGAGAGACAGTCTATTGTGAGAGTTAACATTCTGCACTTGGGAGCCAGATTGTCTGTGGTGAAATCTGAACTTTACCACTAGCGAAAGCTGAATAAAAACCTCACTTCTTCGTGCCTCAGTTTCCTCATCTGAGTAATGGGCATAGTTAATAATATCTACTATATTGTGAGAATTAAATGAGTTAACATATTTAACCTTCTTAGAACAACGTCTTGGAGTTTCAAATGGTATAACAGTGTTGACGATTCATATCCTGGTCCAGGCCCCTGCACTATTAAATAACGCTATGCTGTTAGCAGAAACAAAAGTAACAGAAATAAGAGTCCTCTTAAAGCAAATATGGGGTATTTATTAAAGAGGGCACCTATAACTTAGGTTTTCCAGCAAATTCCCATGGAAAGATTCTCTGCAACAACCCTGTCTATATAGACTGCCTGTCAGGAACTACTTACATGATATTGAACCAATACTTTACCTCAACTGGGCCTAGTTACCACACTTTTAAAATGAGAAGCCTAAGCAGAATGATTCAAATGGCTGCTTTGAACTTTTAACATTATGTATAATAATATATTGTAGTTACATGCTGTCGAGTGGGTCCCTACTTATAGCGGCCCTGTATAGAGTTTCTGAAAATTTGAACTACAGACACCTATCTGATGGGTTTGAACTGCAGACCCTGCAGTTAGCAGTCCAGTGCTTACCCTATAGTTCCACATTCTACATAATGAATTTGTTGAGTTTTTCTGGAAAAGTTAAATTGCCAATACAGTTTCAAGTATCATAAAAGGCAAAAGAACATGCAAGGTTAGCACAAAATCAAAAGACTGAATTAACAAACCCAGAATATGAATTTACAGTTGACAAAATTGAATACCCTTAAAGTTGGAACTACAATGATCTAGTCATTAAACTACTGAAGTATTAACTATCAAGCACAGAAGTACTTTTCATCAGTATGTGTGTTTCATATGTTTTCTAAGTGGCCTCTTACAACACATAGCATTAAGCAGTAAGATAGGACATAATAGGTGGCCTGTGTGGTGGTTCGAGTTTGCCCAGGGGTACCTCAGAAGAAAGACCTGACTAACTATTTCTGAAACATGATAAGCAATGAAAACCCTATGGCACAGTTCTACTCTCACATACATGGGATCACCACGAGTCAGAATCAACCCAACAGAAACTCATTTGGTTTTGTCCTCATACATCTTCTTCTAACATGTACCCCAAGTCAAGCTCTAAATATCATTATTCAGTGTTAGATAAAAATACGCAGTTACAAAAAGAAATAGATTTTATTTATTTACTTTCATCACAAAGTATGAAAGAAAGAAATGGTCCTTTAAACATCAAAAACAATGCTTTATCTTTAAAAGCTAACAAGGAAAAGTCTTAATTAAAATATAGGGTAGTTAAAAGATGTACTTAATAAAACAATGTCTTTTACAACAGCATCCAAAGAGAACTTGAAAAATATTTTAATCATACAGTTGTAAAATAAAAAATATAAAACAATTCAGCAAAATAAAAATATAGCAAATATGGAAAAATTCAATGCTTAATTGAAATATTTATCACATGTAATAAAAATTATGGTAATCCTTTTAAGGAGATACAAATGGCATCTACTTTTCCTGTCACCATTCTTTGTAGTTTACCATACCTGTGGGTAGCTGTCAGTCCTGGGCAAAACTGATATATCATAGGTGGCAGCAAAATGACTTTTGGCTTGTTGTATTTGGCCATAACGTTCTCTTTTTCTCCACTTGGCCCTTCGATTTTGAAACCAAACCTAATTATTTTTAAAGAGTAAAATTTTAGTTAATGGATAGTTGATAAAACAAATGTAACATTAGAAGACTTCAAAATCAGAAAGGAAAATCAAGTCAACAAAATTACTTGTAAAGGAATTTCTTTATCTCAGAAAAGACTTTGCAAATTTAACTTTTTCTCATATCCTGATATGATAAATGATGTACCCACAGGCAACTTAACTTAATACAAAGAGCAGGGACACTTTTGGTACATTTGTTCAATATGTGGGAATCTGACTTCTCTTTTACTGAAATTAGATTATATGATCTTGAAGACTCCTTATATGTCCAGAATACAAAGTATGGGCAACCCTCCATAAGAGAATGTTGCGAGCCTGGGAGACATTTGTAACTTTTAAATTTGGAGTTAACCACTCAGTCAATCTAACTAACTTCTGGATCAATTAAAAAAACAAACAAAAGGAAAAGTGTATGTGTGTGTAAGTTGTATTTGTAAAAAGGAGACTTCGAAAATTTAATTTAAAAAATCCATTATCTTTTCATTCCATTTTTCCATGAACTTTTTGAAGCTCCCTCATAGGCACGCGTGTATATGTTGTTGTTGTTAAGTGCCGTCAAGTCGGTTCTGACTCATAGTGACCCTGTATAGGATTTCCGAGGAGCAGCTGGGGAGTTTGAACTACCTACCTGTGGTAGAAGGCTTATACTACCTTGCCAAACCAGGACTCCGTATGTGTGTGTGTGTATACATATTAAAAATACATCACAAACAGAAGACTCTTCTAGGTTGGTTCCATATTTAGATAATCTTATTAAAATATTAAGGCTAATATAAGAAACATGAGAGCAGAATAAATATGATTATTTTGAAACAAAAGCAAAATTAAGATTACATATTTTGTTGAGTATGCTAATGAATATGGGTAAAATGGAACCATCAGATGTGGAACTATGGTTTTAAAATATACAAAGGTGCTTATTACATAAATTACACTGTTTATAATACATTCTTCATAGAAAATGTTCAGATGTCTTCACAGTCATTTCTCTAATTTAGAACTCTGGTGGTGGTGGTTGTTGTTAACTGTTGTCTAGATGTTCCTGACTCATAGTAATCATGTAGGAGTGGCTGATGGGTTTGAACTGCTGACCTGAGGTTACCAGTCCAGTGATTATCCTTTAGTGCCACACCAGGATTCCATTTAAAATTCTTATAGATAATATAGAAAATAAAAGAAATAGGATCAATATAACCAAGTGTCAGGAAACCTGTGAGTTGTATGGCTTCTAGTTGGTTATTAAATTGTCTTTTACAATATCTCTAATTACATATTAGAAATATTTATCATAACAACCATCTTCTTCAGAGATCAATATTCATTAATCCACACTGGCAGTCTCTAAAATCTTCATTTTAATATTTCAGTGTCAAAATAAGATAACAAATATTATATTCACTACTATACATAATTTGATAGTTTGTAAGTGGACAATAATTATGTAAGTAGCATTAAGGAAGCTCTTTAATCTTCTTTATAGAAATATGCTAAGAATACAAAATACTTGGGAAAAAAGCTAAAAATCAAATACAAAATGCAAATTGTAAAGTCTTTTGTTAAAATTTACTTGTAATGTTTACTTTTTCATTTATAATTCTAATCTTCTATTTCTTTACCTTCACTAAAGGGCGATATATATTGATGCTCAGTTTGATATCTAAGCACAGCACTGCTGCAAATTTTACATGGTGCTTTGATGAATTTTCAGCATTCAAAACAAGACAGTTTCTTAGTACCCTGTTAGTAAATGTATATTCCCATATACCTAGAGCTCAATACAACATTTTTTTTTTTTTTTTTTCCTGCTGTCTCCACCATCAGGCACCAGGACAAATGAGTGGAATTTAGTAAGAAGTTGTTTTTCTTATTGACAAAAATGCCTTGACGATCTCTTCAAAATGGGTGCCAATTATCACACGTATGTGAAAAGCAGGAAAGAGAACAACCTGAGTAAATTAGGTTCAGGTTGGCTCTCTGGGCACATTACTAAGACAAAAAATTAATCAGGACTTGATGAAACCTTAAGGGGAAAACAACAATGTGCACAGCTGATCACTTGGTGCATAAACATATTTTTCTATGGTTACAAGTATAACTAATTTAAATCTATGGACACAAGACCAAAGGCACACATGAGGGGCTCGTGTTAATATGTGTCAATTCTAAAAATCTTGGTTAGCATCAACTTTCTATATATTTACTTCCTGAACTAAGATAAAGTAACCATTTGCCTCCACAAACTAAAGCAAAAATCTGCTGCTTGTTATCCCTGAACTGCCAGATGTTGTCTTTAATGATGCAAGGGCCTTAAAATGGCTTAATCTTAAGAAGGAATACTCAGAACAAAAATTTTTCTCTATTTTTTTCATTTCTCTATTGAAGTAGATTATAGGAATTGCAAAATCCAATATTAAAATTTTAAAAGCACTAAGACAATGTCCATTCTCCTGAGTTACGGTTACATATTTAACTCTTCATTATTGCTTGGGAACTAACAGAATGTAGCTCGAGTATCAAATCCAGTAAAAACAAAATAAACCTAAGAAGCAGAATTTTACTCAGTATGATTTTTCTCTTTCAAATCATATAATTTGATGTGTGTACAATTTTATAAACAGAACTGAGTTATTTATAATATAATTACTTTTAGATCATTATTTCTATTGCCTCTGCTAAACCCATAAAATTTATCTCAATTTAAAAAATTAAAACAAAAACACATATAGGAAACTAGCTACCGGCACTGGAAAATTATAAATTATTTGATATTTCTGTAACTATGCATAGTGAAAATAGATTATTGTATGCATACCTATTAGGAATTAGTAGGATTATTTCATTATTTCTCTTTGTTTTATTATAATAATAAACTACACACTTATGGTCTATTATATGAATAATTTACAAATGCACAGTATATCTGGGAATGCAGTGGCTCTGTAGGATAAGCATTAAACTACAAATCACAAGGTCGGAAGTTCAAGCTCCAGCCAATCTGTGGGAGAAAGATGAGATTTTTTTTGCTGGTTCAGAAATCCTATACAGGGTCATTATGAGTTGGACCCAACTTTACAGCATTTAACAACATCAACATAGTATATAGCTGAAAAAGAACCCTGATAGCTGATAAAACAGAAAAATAATATCCATCAATTATCTAATGGATAACCATGATTTTTTTTTTTTAATCAGGGATATGCTATCATGTTCTGCTCTTTTCAAATAAGGTAAATTTTTTAGGCTCTTGGAATTATTCGAATATTCTTTTGTTTTATGCTTTTGTATGAGCAGTCAAATCATTTGCCAGCATAAAGGAGTTTTATTAGACTTACATGCATATATTATATTGTTATAATCCTCAGTCCTCGAATCAGTTTTTCTTCCTTTGTGGCAAACTGCAATCATTCTAACATTATTCCTTCCCCAAGGCCTACATTTTTCTCATACCTGGACTCTGGCCTCAGTGAGCTCTGTTCTCAGAGCAAGCTGCTCTCTGACATACACATCCGGGTAATGGGTTTTCTGAAAGACCTTCTCCAGTTCCTCCAGCTGCAAGCTGGTGAAGGTAGTTCGGTGTCTCCGTTTCTTACTGCTGGACACGTTGCTGTCACATTTATCCCCAAGTTCATCCAGTTCTCCCTTGTCTGGCATCCCTTTCACAGGAGACATTCGGAGACTGTTACAGTTGTCCATCGCTCTGTTCAGTTGTGTGTGTAGAGGTTGTCCTTCAACTTTAGTGATCCCATAGTTCACTGTATCCAGAAGGGGAAAAGAACAGCTCTCAGGATTTGGAAACAATTCCATGAAGAAATGAAGTTGCAGTAATTTACATTAACAGGAAAGCAGTCTGTTAATGATTTATTGTGGCAGTATTAATTCATTATCACATTAAGTATAATTATTATTTTACTGTGGGAGGTACAGGTTTGGAAACTCTTTTTAAATGTATGTATGGAATTCATAATTTGCCAAAATTCACAGTTCTGTTTTACAGGGTTAAGTAATGTTTATGCACATAATTTATTTTAAGATGCTCTACCCTTAAAGAAAAATGTAAGTAAGACTGATATTGTAAAAGTGAACCAAATTTAATTACATTTATTTATTCACCTTAGACAAAACTAACAGGAAGAAATTCAATTTTAAATAATATCTGTGAAGCAAATTGCAAAATCTTTTAAAAAATTGTCTTTCCCTTCCAAGAAGATTTACAATGAGATATATACTCACTACATTTTGAATAGTTTGAGTATATACTCATGTCCACATTATAAAATTATTTTTTAAAGCTATCCAATAATTTTTTAAAAATGAATTTTGTATGAGTTTCTAGAAAAGCTTTCAAAAGAAAAGAGTAATTAAGTGGACTTATTTAGATTAAAAATTCATCTTGCACATCTTTTTAAATATGTCAAATTTCTGTTTAACTCATGAAATATGTTTTAGGATGGAAAGTTTTCTTTTTCTCTCCAGAAAAACACAAAAATTCAATCATCTATTAAAATATAACAATGGATGGCATCTGGCATTTTGTTAAAGACTGTTTTACATTCATTGATTTCCTTCAGATTTGATTACATGTTTACAGCATGATATTAAAAAATGTATCGTACAAATGACAAATAAAATGAATGCATATAATGAATTGGGAGGCATTTTTTTTTAAATAGTCAATTCCCGCCAGGACCATGCTTTCCAATGGATTGTCATACTTTTTCCATTTACTTCTGTTTTTAAATCTCCCATAATATAATTTTACAACTGTGTTAATCTGTGTTAATCGCTATGAAAATGTATTCATACGTGTGCATATTCATATGTGTGTATAAATACACATATTATATATATATATATATATGTATACCTTAAATTTCTAAATTCCTTAGACTAAAAAATGTAAGCTAATAGTTTTCATGTGAAGGAAGATGTTATGTAACCTAAATATAGAGGCATGTCTGATTAAAATACAGTGTTGTCTTAGTGGCTGAGAAAAAGGGTGGGGGGGGGGGAATGCAGCAATTAGCTGTGAGATGGGGGGAGGGGGGAACGGAGAGGCTAAGAACATCCTAGCAGACTGGGTCTTTTCTTAAATTAAGCAGACTGCTGCCTAAATTTATCTTCCTTAATTCTTTCTAGTTAAAGCTCATCCTAATAGACGCTGTTAATTCAAAAGTTGAAAAAGCATCAAAAATCCTATTAAATCAACTTTTTCTTTTCTTACACTGGACTTCTGACAATTTAAAATATTATGATTGAGTTCAGTTATCATCGAGCTATTTAAAAAAGTTATCCCTTGAATTCAAAACCATACCGACACCCAAATACAGTCCATCAAGTCAAAAATTTAAGTGTATTAAAGACAAAAAACGATCGCTCATCTTTCTAAAAAAAAAAAAAAAAAAATGAACCGAGTTAGCTGATTGTTTTCTCTACCTTTTGCATCTTTTTTTATTAACCCGTGTATGTCGAAAGTAACTTGTAACGTAAATAATTAAAATATAAATGATAGTTTTAAATTTTGCGTACAAAATATTTAGAAGTGCTAAGAGTCAGTCCTTTGTCAGATTTTGAACTTTCATTAAAATACGGAGCAGGAGGCTTGTTGTAAATATTTCACACTTAATTCGTTTATTTTAAAGTAACCTGCTCCTTACTGATTAACTGGGGAATATATATAATGATAAGGAAAAATCCTCTTGGATTGTAAACTTGCTTTAGCTGTCCTGATCTAAAATAATAGGTTTGTATTGGGTTACAAGATAGAAAAGATAGATGGTTTGTTTTGATAACATTTTGGCTTTGAGATACGTGGGCATTCAAAATTGAAGATTTCACCCAGAAGCATTCCAAACTACTTCGGTGACTTAACGTGGATTAAAAAAAAAAAAAAAAAGATAGACAATGCAGAATCCAGGAGTCAGTAATTATATGAGGGATTCTTTGACGGAAGCTATTTTAAAGTGATTTGGTACTTTCCAAAAATGTACCCTAGTTTACCGCAAATGCAAAGTAGGAATAATAAAAAAATTCATAAACTAATCTAGCAACACTCCAACATCAGGAAGAAAAAGATCACCACGTCTCGAATCACTATAAAAAGGGTTTTCCACCGAAAGGAGCTCTTAAGTTTTCAGACTCCTGACGACAGTGATGTCCACTAACGAGCTGTGATCGATTTCAGCTCTGCCCGCCCCCGCAGCAAGGCTGGCAGAGGAAGCGCGCTGTCTTGACTCAATTACGCTTTACTTAGTACCCGATCAGTTTACGCCCGGGTCCTAGATAGACGGATGCCTAGAATCAAAAGAAGACCCGACCCGTAGGAGGATGAGAATCAGCAGCGTGAAAGAGAATCGCGCTGAGGCAAACCAGCTTCGAATTCTTTCTCCGCCTGAGGTGGCCCGCAAAATCCGCTTCCTAAAACGCGCATTTTCATTGCCTTTCTCCGCCCTCCACCTCCCTCGCTCCCTCTTTCCTTTCATCCTCACTGCAGCCTTTCCAAGACGGTACCCGCACGCACTTCGGTTTTGCTAAAGTTTGCAGAGGCTCAGGCTAGGGCGCCGGCGACTCACCGCTGCTGTCCTGACAGGGCGAGGTCCTCTCCAAGCGCACGTGATGCTCAGCGCGGGGCAACGGCCCGAAGGCCTGCACGCATTTACCCGCCGACGCTTTGCTGTAAAAGGACTCATTGTCCAGCGTCTCCATAACGTGCTCTAACGCGCCTCCTGCGCCCATGTAAAAGTCACTGTTTTTACTTGGCGGGCTCTTGAGGGCAAACTTCTCGCTGAGGAACTCCATAATCCTGGAAGGCTGTAGCGGAGTTCCCCCGGCGCAGAGGCTGGTGGGCGCTGGGGGAGGAAGCGAGTGGGCGGGAGGAGGGAGGGCCAGAGAGGAGGGAAGGGGAAGCAAGCGCTGCGGCGCCGGGAGCTGCCCAGCTTCTAGCACTTTAATATGTCCCGGCTGGAAGAGGGGCACCCAAAGTAGCTTTTATATCTTGAAACTCAGTTGGGTTCCTCGGGAAACCTCCCAGTTCTAATGAATATGAAAATAGGCAGGCAACTAACTCCACCCAGGGTCCCCCTCCGCCCCTACCCCACCCCCATCTTCCCCACTTACCGGGGCAGAGAGCATCTAGGCCTATGTTAGACAGACAGCTCCATTTCAGGCAAATGCCGGGAGGGACGAGGCCCCAACACCCAAGAACTTAGTCGCCGGGACTGTCGACTGGCATTTTGGAAGAGCTTGGTGAGATCGCAAAGTAGTTACCTTTCCACTCCCCACTCTCTGAGCCATCCAGCCTCCCGCCCGGCACCCCGTCGTCCCCACCCCGCCCCCACGCCGGCCACTCAATACCAGAAAGATTTAGAGGCGTCTTAAGAACTTGAAAGGAAGTATTGCTCTAAAGGTCTTTTATTTCATCCGTAAACCGTTTACGAGGAAGATCCACATTAATCCGAAGATCAAGAAACGGGATACATTGGCAGCTATTAACTGGGACTGCCGTGGTACAGGGGCGACTTCTGCTTGTTACGGAGGAGCTGGGCGTCCTGGCGCGCTCTGCGCTTTTTAAGAGGCCGTGGCCTGTCCTTTCTCTCAGGAATGCGGGGCGTGTGGACGTGGTGGCGATGGGTGTGAGAGGGAAGCCGAGAAAGAGGCACTGAAACGATTGACACCAATACCAACCTATTTCCCCACCCTCCTTCCCACCCCTCCCCTTCGTCCACGATTTTATCATTAGATGCAGATTATTTTAAGAAAGCCCGTTAGGAAAGATTCCTGCAAAGGAACCTTAATCTAGACCAGAGGAAGGACTTGTTAAGACCAAAGGGAGGTTTATGGGGAAGAGGAAGAAGGCCTTTAGTATGTTTTAAATTTTATTTATTCATTTTTATTTTTAAAGAGTCGCTGCAGAGTTCTTTGAAATTGACGTGCATAGAACGAGTGACGCGGCGCGCACGAGGATGTGCTTACTCTTAGGTCCGTGTCCCGGCCGCTGGCAGGGCCCAGGCTTCCTCTGATCTCTTGAAGGGGATCTGAGGGTTGTCGGGGAGCTGGTGGCTCCCTGCGGGCAGGGCAGCACCGCGGGGTTGGGTGTCTTCCGTGTGGCTCCTGGCTTTACTCCCCACCTCTGATGAGCCCGCGCCTCAGAGACAAGTATGTTCAGCGCCTTGGGCTCAAGATCAGGTATCCTAAACTGGCTAATCTGATTAATTGTGCCCACAAATTAGGGGCAAAGTTGCGCCTTTTCAGGTAGACCTGTGCTCCTGGGTCTTCACAGGCTTTTTCCCCACAGGCCGTCTTTTGCCCGTCGCTTCTCCCCAGACCAGACTGGCAATTCGACCAGGGCTTGAGGCCCTTGGGAGTGGAAGGGCTCTTGGGGCTGGTGAGGCCATGCACAACTTTAGTGTGTAGTGGATGGGTCCAGTGATTTCCACCACTTCGGGGGTCTTGACCGACCCATGTCGAATCGGCGAGACTGTTCGTGGCGGGGCAAAGTCCGCAGCTCAGTAACAACCAATGTGGAGCGCTTTGCCCTCCGCCCCTTGATGCTCTTTAGTCTTGTCCTAAAGAAGGGTCGCCAGGCGGACGAACCCCAGGCAGACGTCCCTGGGGCAGAATCATCAGCCACTGGGCCGGCTTTCCAGAAGAAGCAAAATCCGTTCACTTGTCCCTGCCCTCGGCGTGACCTTGAGTGTACGAACACTCTGGCGTATTCTATTACTGGATTAAATAGTTTCTTGATATTATTACTATCGCCGTAGAAGTCCAGCCATCACCCGCAGCAAATTGCTACATTTTAAGGGTCTTCCTCAAAGCAAAGTGTTCTGGGACTGTGCACCAGGAGAAAGCCAGGCTGAGTTGGTGTAGGAACTAGAAACAAGACTTAGTTGGTACTGGGTGGCTATTTTCCGGCCTGAACCCGAAAAAAAGGCCCAGGAAGTGCAAGCGACCTGGAGCCCTGCAGCACTCGGACCCTGCCAGAAGCAGAGGAGCAGCTGTGTGTTTTCTGAGCACTTTCTAGGCGATCCCTGGGCCGCCCTAGTAGAACGTTTGGTGTGGTCCAGTGATTTTCAGGCTCTCTCCTTTCCCCCGTGGCTCCTTCTTGCCTTCAGATCCTCTATTATCAAGAGGAATGGCCCTTTAATGTGTTTCTAAAATTCACAGAGGCTAGATCAACGCCTATTAAATGACTTAAGGAAACATACAACTCATAGCTATACTCGCAGTTATGTTGCAGAGCTCAATCAGCTTGTTTATAAATAATGCGTCTTAACCATATTTGATTTCAACTCATAGCAACCCTATAGGACAGATTAGAATTGCCCCATAGGGTTTCCAAGGAGGTAATCTTTGCAGAAGCAGATTGCCACATCTTTTTCCTTTATAGTTGCTGGTGGGTAACACTGATGGGTTTGAACTGTGTACATTTAAGCTTAGAGCTTAGAGCCATGGCTACTAGAGCTCTCTCAAATAACATTAATTGAAATAATAAATGATTTTGGCAAGTCCTGAGAAGGGAGAAGAAATCAGATTGGAAGCTCTTTTACCCTGCTTGAGATCCATCAAGGCTTATTCTGTTTGATGCTTTGATTTTAAACATATTGGAAATTGATTACAACACTTTTATAAATGCTCTGGACTACTCTACCAATATCCGACGAGTTTTCCACATGATCAGCAGCCTTTAAAAAACTTGGTGCTGTACTCCCACCCCTATCCAACCCTTCCCAGTTCCATCCAGTTGGCTTGGACAGTGTCCCTGCGACTACAGTTCTGAGAGCAGACCAACCAGCAAAAAACGGCCAGTTTATTGAGCCAGGCTCCAACTGGGATTTTATCTCAACAAGCTCAGCCTGTCTCCCATAGTTCTCTGTGCCACCCTTCTATTTTGCCTCTGAAAGTATTGTTCATCTCCTCTGGGGTGGAATTCTAAACTAAGGGTTGGATTCAGCTCCCCTTGGTTCATTTCAGTAAAGAAATCTACCGGCAATAAAGCTGTTGCGCCTCTTATTTTTATTTTAATTTATATATTTCTTTTCATTTGCTTAGCTCAGATACGAACTTTCCTGGTACACAGAACACTTGATATGGTGGAAATGAGGGGAGGAAGGGTTAGGAGAGGGACAGAGGTGGGGCGCCATGGATTTCAAAATTTAACAAAATCCTAAAATTCCAACTTTCAGATCTCTGGGCTCTGTGTAGTGTTGATGCTTCTTCACATCTCCTACCTGAGATTGAAACAAGGTGCCTAGGATCTGTGTCAGCAAGGAACGTGCAGACACAAGAAAGCAAAAGGGTGGTTTCTATTTCAAGATCTATTTCAGGTTCAAGTCGAAGCATTGATGAAAAAGTTTTCTTCTCTAGTAATGGAGGTATTTTGGAGCAAACTAGAGTACTCTTCAGCCATTACCAGTAGCTAAGAGAGTGGAAAAGCAATGATGAATCTGAAGCTCCAATTTAAAGTCATATATAACATTCCTTCACCCACTTTAGTTCTTTTTTTTTTTTATTATTAAGTGCCAATTCCCCAAAACACAGTGGTTTGAGGTATTTATTTTTAACATGTCATTTAATTCACTCCTTTAGAGTACAGAACTAAAGTAATTGCATCAGTTAAAAATATCAGAACCATCCACTTAAATGACTGTTTGAAGACCCCAACCATGGATAGTACTTCATTAGAAAATAAAGTTTGGATAAGGAATGAGGAATTGGCAGTCGTTCTAAGGCAGTTTGAATTGCTTAAAAAAAACAAAAAAACTTCTCACGAACTAAAAGCAGCCTTCAATGTACCTCCCCCCACCAATATATTTTAGGAAAAGAAAAACATTTCTATGTGCATACATCAAAACAGCAATAGAAGCATTGTGTAGACAATTCCAGTTCCTTTATTTCTCAACCTATTGAAAGAAGTCACAGTTATATAGTAATAGTGGAGATGTCAAGGTAGGATAGTAAGAATTTTAGACTTAGCACTATTTTTTGTAGTTAGAATTTGAAGCATATTATTATGTAAAGTTAGAAAAAAAAATGCATGCTCAATCTGAAGAACTGTGCCAAATGTAGAAAAGCAAGGGTATGGAGAAGGGGGAAGGGGAGGCTGAGATGCCAGGAAACTCTCATGAAAAAGTACTAAAATAATTGAATGCCATGTATTATGGCAAAAAGCCAGATGGTCTCGTGTTTGTGTGTTGCTCTGCTGTTGTTACTCTTCCCTGATTTCATGTTCAATCTTCCCACTGCTCTAGAGACATAACAGATAAAGAAATATTTTACATTAAAGCAGTTCACTCATTTTTATCAAAATAAAAATAAATTCACAAATCGGCTTTTATTTTAAATGTTTATTCTCATCTCTTATCTACTCTAGCAACCAAACCCACAAACTAATATATTACTTTGTTACAGTTTGAAACTTCTACCTTGTGAAAAATAATTACCTGAATGTTAATCAATTGTGTCAATCTTGATAAATGTGCTGTTGCAAAGCTGCCATAGATATCATTTATCTGTCATTTCACTAACAATATAATCTTGGTGTTTCCGAAATTCACACAATTTTTCAAAACCTGTGCTTGATTTTTAATTTCAGCTGGTTTCAGCAATAGCTTTTCCCAGTTTCCCTTATCTTAAAAGAAAAATGGACTCAACTTCTCTCCTAAAAGATCCAATTTAAATGTTAAAATTCAAGATGACTTTTCCCTATGCACTCTCCCACTTACCTAACATGTATTTGTTTTATTTACTATACAATTCATTATAATTACTATAAGATATTTTATTGCAAATATAAAAAATCATGCTTCTACCATGATAATCAATCACCTTTCTGGCTGTCATCATTGCTCCAGAAAGTTATGGATGCAATAATAATAATAATAATAATAAAGACCTTTGGGTTTTAGTTGTTCTATAACATACATATAAACCTTTAAATAAAGTCAT